GAGCCCAGTCTTGACAGTGGCATCTCCTAGAAAGTGACTTTCTAATACATATAGGGCAGTACCTGTGCTGGGGAAACTCACAACAGTATCTATCCTGGCTACATGTGAGTGGGTTCCAGTGTGTGCTTGATGCTTTTATACATGTGCATGCTTTCTTGATGGATTTGGCTTCTTTTGCAAGAGTTCCTTCCCTAGACTGAAGGTGGACCATGTGCAAGATCAACAGCTGGAAAAGTGACCAACCTGGAGAATAAACACTGGGATCTTTACTCTTCTGCATTCAACACACTGGACAAAGCGAAATGCTTCCCTGTTTCCAAGAACCCAATGTGGAATCTGCATGTGTAGTGCAATACAGTATCTTTATTATTCGTCTTTAATATGCTGATGTCATGTGAGAGTGTCTTCTAGAACACTGTGCTTCTGTCCGTGTGCAGGTGAGGCTGTGTTCTCATTTGATTGTAGCATGGAGGGAACGTCCTGTAAGATTTGAAGCTAACGCTCACTTGTGTCCAGCATCCAGTTGCTACGATAGGACAGAAATCCTGATTTCTAATAAAACCTGATAGTCTGTGGTGAAGGCATATTAAAGTACTATTCTGTGTTATCCTGGTCCGATAAATGCTTTCTTGTTATGTCATCCTTTGTCTCACTGAACATTGAGCCAGGCTGATAACCGGAAGACAGCAACCACAATAATTCAGCTCCAGAATTACCTAGATGCTAATACCCGCTTTCTTCTATACCCAGGTGTTTTGTGGCCTGATGACAGAGACTGGCTAGTGGCATTAGGGACTGGAAGAAGGCAGGGAAGTATGTTGATCAGAGTAGAGGAAACTTCCAAATCCAGTATTTACGACATCAAAGCTGCTTCTTAATTCAGTAACAGTTTTGGAGATGCTGATTCCAGCCTGAAAGCTGTTCATGAGTGCATTATAGATGGCAGCTTTGGTATTAGCCAGTTGCACTATACCCTGGTTTTCTGCCAAGTTACCAAAGGTTGAAATTTCTCCATAGAGATAGAGAGGAAGCCAAGCTCTGCAGATGCATGAGAGGTGTATTGCCATGTTTTTGCACTGAAATAAAGGCATGTATCAAAATTTGCTATGTGATCCTTCCCCAACAGTCATCTCACACCAATGAGATGCTGTTGGTGATGACTGCGTGAGCCTACTCCCCTCTGGTTCCTTGGCTCCACATGTTTAATAAGGTTTATGGAACATACCTCTATTTGGTGGGGCATGAAATCAAAGCCATTTATGAGATCTTAGTGTAAGCTTCCTAAACTTGACCAGACATGCTGCTAAGGGCTAGCAGCTTGTACCACAGGGGTGTTCCCAGGGAAGGAGGGTGCTTCACATTCTTTCAGGCCCAAAGGTGAAGGTACTGTAGTCCTTAGTGCATACTTAACAGCTGTTGGAGTATTTCAGTCACTCCTCTGATGTCTTTTCCTTTGGCAGTGCTGTCGTATTGTGATGACATTGTGAGTCCTAGTGGTTATTATTCCCTTTCATTTTGTGTACGATCTTGTGAATTTATTTGTTCCTTTCTTTCCTCTGCTAGTCCTAGTGACAGCAGCACACATCAACTTATATTTCAGAGTAAATAATATAAACCTTATTGCATCTTTGTCCAGAATGATATTAAAGAATAAATATCTGGTTTAATTGCACATTCAATGGATTCAATAAAAAGCACAACTTCTTGTGGTGATCTTAGAGACAACTGTGTCTTTGGTGCTAGTTGATCAGAGGTGTGTCTGTGTGCTGACATACGGCAGGAAGACAGCAAAGTTATTCCCAGGCTGCTGATGGTCAGAGGGATGCTCGCTTTGTACCTAAGCAGGGATGGATTGACCACAGGAAGTCTTAAAGGAGTTGGATGAGAAGACCTTTAGTCCAACCCTTTGCAGTGCTGAGGGAGCCCCAGAGACGTACGTGTGTGTGCGTGCGTGAGTTAGGTGTATCACACTTGGAGAAGGCCATGCTGAAAAACCAGGGCAGACTGTTGGGTATGACATCCCACCCATTCCAGTCTATTCTGAGTTTTCTCTCCAAGAGATTTCCTGCAGGTGTTAGACCAGAATGACTCCTGGCACACCCTTCCCACCACATTCCTCTGCGACACACTGCCTGGGCAAGTGGCTTTGTAGTGAGATCTGTACTGATTTAAAGAGTAAGGGCTGAATTCTTCATCCTCTTATCCTGTTGCTGCTTTTTCCTGAACCTTCCAGAAATGGAACTGTATCCCAAGTACATTTCAAAACGCAAGGATGGGGTTTTGGGGGTGTTGGGGTGTGGTGGAGAAAGGCTTGGGATCATGGGCAGACATACAGAAAGCTTCAACTCCTAAAGCTGTTAAGCACAAAACAACCCCTGAGGGCAGACTTCTCAGCTGTTAGCAGCACATCCTGGGTGTGTTTTTGAAGGCAAATGCGATTGTTGTGTAAATCGGGATCAGTGTAGGGATAAAGAATGATTTTTTTTTTTAAATCCTTCAGGTAGGTATATCTGAGGCCAGTGCTGTGGGAACCTGTGTGCCCTTAAAAGCATTGTTAATGGGTGGGGAGGTGTTGCAGAAATGCCCACAAAATTATTCATGGATAGGAGAAAGTGTTTTTATGTGAGAAAATTTGGATCTCAGTCTGTCCAAACCATCAAAAGGTGATTCAATGACAGGACATCGGTGGGGGAGAATATGAAATCTAAAACCTGTTTGAATCCAGTAGTCTTGTGCTGCACGCACACTGAGATGGCACTCTATAAATAAACATCTTCGCATTCAGCTGCAAAATCTCTTAGATCTGCTGCATTTTGCCATCATTGTCTTGTATCCACCACTGTCGCTGTACATAAGTGGCTGGGTAATGA